AAGATGAGTGTTCAAGGTTGTTTTCAACCTGCAGTCTGATGGACCAGCTGGTGCCACCCGGACCAGTAAACTAGTTCTGCAATCCCACCCCGGGGCTGAAGGCAGCAAGAGGGACCCACTTCCACCCACCACGACTTCATCCCTGACCCAGCCAACCAGCCTGCTCCGTTCCCTAGCCCCCGCCACAAAACGGAAAAACCCTCATCTCCAAGCCTTCCGGGAGGCTGATTTGAGTAATGACTCCGTCCTCTGCGTGGCCAGCCTTGTTACTTACACGCCTTCAATACCGCAGTCCCTGGGTCTCGGTTCCCTGCAGCCGTCAGGGAGAAGCTGTGGGCGGCTGCACCCCAGCAGAGAGTCCAGGAGTCACTGCACATTTGTGCGTCTGAGCATTTGACAAACAAAAACTGGCAGCTGAAAAGAGATCCTTCTACTTCACAGCAACCTGTGAGCAGCCAGAGGCCAGGAAATCACATTTCCCCAGTTATTTATTTAGAAAAACTATGACAGGTTCATGCCAAACAGACTCACACCCAGACCTAACAGTACTTACACCCCGAGCTGGGGAGGCTGTGCCCCTCAGCCAGTCACAGGGATGACCTGGGAAGACAGGTCTCCATGGAGCAGGGGCTCCGCTCTTGGCACTGAGGGCCTCCTGGGAATGTCAGGTCCCCGCTCCGCTTCCTGGAATCTGTGTTCCTGTGGCCACCTCTGGAAGTGAACACGGGACACCTTAGGGACCCCCAGCCAGGCAGTCCTCAGAGGCACCAGGAGGGGCAGGCTATTCCCACTGGCTCACAGGGCTCACAGCTGGCTGGGGAAGAAGCTCCTCCCTCGCAAGGGGTCAGGGGTCAGCTTACATAAGTCAGGGGTCAACATAGAGGGGGCAATGATCACCACAGATGGGACAGGGGCCACTTCGGGATCAGGGATCAACTTTGATGGGGCAGAGGTCACCTCGGATGCAGGTGGGAAGGGAGCAGAAGGACTTTGGGGGCACCTGAAACAGTGAAGGAGGCGGGTGTCCTGGGATGGAGCCGTGGCTTCAGCAGAGGGGCTTTGGGGTTTGCCCCGAGGAAAATGAAAACACCCCGTATTGTGGGCCCCCCTGTGGGGCCAGCAGGGGCTTGGGGCAGGTAAGAGGGGCATCAAAGAACAGCCAAGTCCCCTCTCCCAAAAGCCAGGGAAGGCACTGCCTCCCAGGAACAGATCAGCTGAGAAGAAAGAGGAGTGAGGGGGGTCATTGCCCTGACTCAGGACCTCAATGCTCCCATCCGTGGAGTGTGGTCATCACCTCTTACCTCGGCGACCTCGGTGCTCCCATCTGTGGAGTGGGGTCACTGCCCTGACTCAGGACCTCAATGCTCCCATCCGTGGAGTGTGGTCATCACCTCTTACCTCGGTGCTCCCATCTGTGGAGTGGGGTCATCACCTCCTACCTTGGGGACCTCAGTGCTCCCATCTGTGGAGTGGGGTCACTGCCCCTGCCTC